CCCCCCCCCCCCCCCCCCCAGCCACGCGATCCCCCCCCCCCCCCCCCCCCCCCCCCCAATCTACATTATCAGGAGACCCGTTCACCGTGATGAACGCCTACGACGAGTGGATCCGCGTGAAGGCGGCTAGGAAGGAGTCCTCCCGCCGGTGGTGCAAGCGTCACGGCCTCCAGGAGCAGCGGCTGTACGAGATAACCAAGCTCAGACGGCAGTTCGAAGACCTTCTCGGGAGCGCCGGCCTCATCTGGCTCGGTGCCGCCGCTCAGCGGGCGAGACAGGCGCGCGCCGCGCGGGGGGGGGCGGGGGGGCGACCGTCCAAGGAAAAGCTCCGGGAGCTCAAGATGAGGAGGGAGGGCCGGAAGAGGAAGGTGCTCCAAGTCGATGGGGGGGGTGACGCGGCCGGCAATGCGGGGGAGGGGGGTAGCGGGGGCGAGGACGTGGAGGAGGCGCGGCGGGATCTGAGGGGTGAAGTTGGGGAGGGAGAGGTCGACGGCGAAGCGGGCCTGGACCTATCGTCTCTGGAGTTTTACATGGCTCAGGATGTCGGTGAGTATTTTTTTTATGCGCATGGGTTTTAGACCAGTATGGACAGCTGAAGGTTTTTATACATCGACAACAAACAACAACAACAACAACATCGGGGTTTTGGGGGAAGGCGAGCGACTTTGTTGCACCTCGTCAGGCGCGCGCAGCGAGAGGCACAACGGGACCAGAGTATTACATAGGCGAAGGAGGTATGACGCGCTCGCTCGCTCGGCCCTTTGCTGAAGATAACGCAATGTGTTTGGACGTCGAGCAACCATCATTTTTCGTCTCAATTAGTGCGCGGTGTATGCGCATCCGCCAGCCTCAAATGGATTCGTGCTTGTCCGATACAGGGTATGACCAGCTCGTTGCATGTATGAGTCTGCACGTGCAGAGTACTACACTTACAGCAGTCAAGAACATCGACGCGTGACTGTATCGCCCACCGGCGGGTACGGCTCGCTTCTTACCTCCCCGCCCCCACCGTAACAACAGACCAGCTTGCCGAGTCCTCCGGGCGACGCCTCGCTCGGAGAGACGTGGCGATCATCAAGGCCATCCTCTGCCAGGGCCTGTACCCTCAGTTCGCGGTCGCCGACGCCGGCAACGCGGGCCGGGCGTCCAACGAGCAGCAGTACGTCACCCGGCCCTCCGGCGGGCTGTTCATGTCCCCTTCGTCCGTCCTCGCCTGTCAAGACTTCGGCATCGCCGCAACTGCGGGGGGGACTGCGAATGGGATACATTCTTCTTCTTCCCGTGGGGCTGCCGCGAATGCCGGGCGTGGCGACGGGTTGCTGTGCTACGGGCAGCTGATGGAGACGCAGAGGCCGTTCGTGTCGTCGGTGACGCCGCTGCCGGCTCTGCAGGCGCTGCTGCTGTTCAGCGCCAGGGTCGACACTTCCGAGGATGCCTCGCTGGTGAGACCAGAGCCCGACCTTCCTTTCGTTCCGTGTGCGAGGGTAGTGCTAGTGCTGATGTTGGCAAAGCCGTGAGCGGTGTTGGAGGGTAGTGCTGCGTCGGGAAAGCCGAGAACGTGGGGCAGGACAACGCACTTTTGTGTATTGGAAGAGACGGGATCCGACGGCAGTGTTGCCGGCAGGGTTTGAAAGCCGGCTGTAGACGTTGTTTTTTCCACCGTCCGTAGCATATACTGTGCCGCTGCTCTCGACAAAACCACCCGCGGAGTCAAGGCGCGCGGTTAGCCCTCCGCTATCGGTTGTGGTGAAACCTACGCTAACCTCATCCATCACCTTTCGCCCCTCACCGCCGGAGCTCCCCCCCCTTCCCCCCCGCCGTTTCATCAACGAGTAGATTCTTTTCGACCACTGGTTGCTGGTGGAGATGAGGGGCAGGGACCCCGCGCTCAACGGTCAGAAGCTCCTCGTCGTTGCCTGCGGCCTGAGGGCACGCCTTGGCGCCCTCCTGTCGGAAGCGCTCGTCGAGGCCGAGAGGCGCAAAGGGACCGGCGGCGGCGGCGGCCGTGGGTTTCCAGGCGGAGGCGTGCGCGACCAGAGCGCGACGGCGACGACAGGCGACTCGAGGCGGGGGACACGCGGACAAGAAGGGGACGACCTGATGCTGCAAGATCTTCCGCCGTTGCTGCTGATGGCGAGACGGGCGTGGGTGGACGGCGGGCGGCTCGGTGGCGGTGGCGGTGGCGGTGGCGAGGGGAGGCGCCCGGAGCGAGAGTGTGAGCGGGGTGATGCCGCGGAGGTGGACTGGGCGCAGGAGGCGGAGGCTCTCGCCGTAGATCTGGCGGAGTTCATGCTGCAGTCCATCGGGTGAGTGAAGGGTGTTCGTTTGTGTTTATTATTTGATGATGTAGTATGGGCTTTGTTACAGGATGTATGATGCGCTATCACGCTTTCTTACATACTCGCCCCCCCCCCCCCTCCACGGCGCGCGCGTGTGCGTGCTTGTTTCGTGTGGAAATATTGTTATCGTTTCTCTTCACACGAGTTTGTTTTTTCTCGAGTTTCACCACGATGTAGCGTAACAACGAAGGGTGTGGCTAAGCCGCCCGCTGTCCGCGAATTTTCGCGCGCGAAACGCGACGTGAATCGTACCGTGGAACATGTCAATGCTGTTGCGGCGACACACTCTCAGGTGTCTTCGTGTCGACGGTGCTACTTTTGTTTCCAAAACCTGATGATGACAATGATGATGATGACTCCTGCTCGGTGCCGCAAAATAGCTTACTTTTCCCGGCGCAATAAACGACCGCACAAACAACCCATAAAAAAGGTACGATGTAAAGTCGGTGTCGCCGCGGCACGTGGAGGCCCTCCTGGTGGACACCCTTCGCCTCAGGGACCCCGCGGAAGTGAGGCGCGTCCTGGGGGAGTACCCCGGCCTGCCGGGCGAAGACCAGCAGAACAAGAAGCCTTGCCCCGCAGAGGAGCAGGCGCGGCCGCGAGCGCAGCAGAACAACCACCAACACAAGCAGCCGGGGGGGGAAGGCCGTGACGACGACGAAGGCGGGGGCGGGGGAGGGGGGAGGGGAAGGGACGCCCGTGGGGGGCCCGTGGATGGGACCGTGGCCGGCGGTGGCGGTCGCCGCAACAATAGCAGCAGCAGCAGCAGCAGCAACAACATGACCGAGCTTTTGGCCACGTTGTCCCGCGCGGTGGAGGAAGAAATCCGAGGGAGCAAGGGGCTGTTCGGCCTCGAGACCGGGGTGCTGGAACGGCTCAAGGGCGGGGCAAGGGTCACCCCCTTCCTGAGGCACGGCAGCGTGCGCCGGCAGGATTCCTCGGGCAAGGCGCCGCACGGGCTGGCGGCGGGGGGTATGAAGAAGTGGTGGCGCTGTCCGCGATGCCACGTTTCGCAGGTACGATACATACGCATACGCCAAGCGTGTCTTTGTCTCACTGTGAGAAAGCTGTCGATCGATCGGTCCGCTTTTTTTTTTATCCTACCACTGTGTTCGTGTGGTAGCGTTTTTTTTTATTGATTTACAGCTGTTTCGAATCGTGGCTGTGGCGGGAAGAAACTGGTATTGACACATCCAGCACTCTGATAGCAAGGAAATTTGTTCTTTGCTCTATGGTAGACGCACCGAGTGAGATCACTGCTGCTGCTGCTGCTGTCGAAGAACATGGTTCTTTCTTTCACACCGCCACTCGTCCACTTCCGGTGTGGCTGTTGGTGCCGCAGGTCGTCGACCTTAAGGCGATCCACGAGCACTTCAAGGTCTGCCTAGTCGACCCAGCCCCTGGCAGCAGCAGTGCTTCTGGGGGCACAGTAGCGACAGACGCCTCGGACAAGGGGCACCAAGAAGCTGCGCCGCCGGGGAAAAAGAAAAGGCGCATGGTCGGAACCTCGGTGAAAGGAACCCTTCGAAAGTAGAGGAGGCGCCGAGAAGGTCCGTTGGATACTGATGGCCCACAAAGAATTGGCTTCTTGTGTGAGGAAACAAATCGCTCTTTTTACGAGGAACGACTACCTGGACTACCGCCGTCGTAGACACGTGTGTGTCCTCTTGTTGACGATGGGTGAAACTGTCTACTGTCGTTCTTCGCCCTGTTAGCCTTGCGGTGGATCATGTCTTGGTCTTGGTTACCGGAGTCAACAAATTTGTCGAGATGGGAAAAGGAGCCGACAAGGCATGTTGAGCGGGTGGTATTAGCCCACAGCCCATGTGAGTTGGGAGTTCTGAACTGGGAGGCTGGTTGTACGTAAATAGGAGGTGTGTTCAACGTTTTTGTTGTTTCTCTTGGATGTGCTGGTACTGCTGTACGTCTTGAATCGTGAAAACGAAAGCACGCTAGAAGTTGTATCGCTGAAATACGCCTCTGTGTTGAGGTAACACGGTGTTTGTGGCCACTACGTGCCAACTCTCTTGTGCTCCAGATAGAGTCATCTCTCTCTTGTGGTCGTCATCGCCGTCGTCGTTATAACTGTTGGTTGGGTTCGCGCCACCGCTGCGTGCCCAGTAGCCTAACGCGCTCTCACGAGTTGTTGCACCCTTAACCTTTTTCTCGACCACCAACCGCCCGAGGAGATCTTTGAGTCTGCCTGCGGGGGTCACGCAAACGAAAACTCGTCGACTGCAGTAGGCTTCTGGTCTAGTCTTGGCACCAACGGGGGGGGCGACGCGAATGCAAACCCGTCCAGTAGGCTCGGCAACGAACGGTATGATGCGCTTGACACGTGTACAAGAATAAGAGTAAGGAGGAAAACACAAACTAAACACACGTAGAGTACTGCTGTCGATGAGAGAACACGAAAAAAAACAACACAAACATGCGCACCATGTTCCTTGATAGCACGTACTGTAGTCCCCGAGTCGTTTCTAAGCCTGCGGGAACATAGCCGGGAACCGCTGAGAGATACCTCTAGGAACAACAGACATACAACAGACATAATAGGCGGCGGCCTACGTCCTCTCGAGGCCACACTAGCAGCATGTCCAACAGTGCAAAAGTGCTCACGACGAGATGTTACTAAAATACTGCTGTGTTCATTTTGCTTTTCGCAGAAAGCCTTCGGCAGGCTTGCGAACTTCGGCCCACTTGGAACCGTTGGCGTACAGAAGCTTAGAGAGTCGAGCACGAACACATATGGTACGAAGTACTTGTACATGTTATTCAGCCAGCACACCTTGGTCGTGTTAGTCATCGTCGTCTTCCCGACGGAGTATGTATCAAACAATCAATCAATCCGTCGCGCAAAAGCGCTTTTCTTTTTCATTTTTCATGTGTCCGGGATCCATCCACAGATCAGACAAACCCAACCCACACCCTCAAGGGGAATGACCGGACACTCACAAACCTAACCATCGAGTGAGTGGACCCTCAAACAAACCTCCACCTCCACCTCCACCTCCACCTCCACCTCCACCTTGCTACACAACGGTATCACCCAGCTGCCTGCCGCACTAACCGCTCACACACCAAATCTATTTATTAATAGCAAAACTTAACACAGTGCGGCACTAACAAAGTGCTCTTTGTAGCGGTGCCAGGCATGCATTAAATGGTACCGCGATCGCCCAGTGCGGTCGGTACTCAAGACCGCGACTCATAGCCCGGTGGCCTTCGAGCTCCCTACAATATGTTGAACATACTTCCTATTTTTCAGCCGTTGTTGTGCTTGCTTCGCTGTGCAAGCTCTTTTTCCGGATGGCCTCTCTTCTCGCTTGGACGTGCCGCCCCTGCGCCGTCTTGAACTTGCTGAGCAGCAGAGACACGTCTTGTGTTTTCTGCTCCATCAGAGAGAATCACGAACGTTGCGGTAGGTTAGCAAGGTGAGGGTGTTCGTAACGACAAGAAATAAACACAGAACAAGAAGTGGTACGAATAGAGAGCAAAAGAGCCTATGGTTGGCAGCGGCAAAGATGGCACTGAAGTCGGTACAATTTAATCTAAAGCAGGGGCAATCATGCCGCCCTTGATCCAGTGTACTTATGGTTGGGGGGAAAGTGCCGTCGGGACTTGCGGAAAGTGCACCCTGCTCTTCCTACAGCATCATGTATCTCCCCCTCTCGTTGAATATAGTCTACCTGGTGATGAACCTAAAAGGACGGCGGATGATAAGCACAAGAGTCACCATGTCACCATCACACATTCTTGGCACGACTACTTAGCGCCCAAAACGACCGGAGATGCTTCGCATGTGTCTTAACAGCGAGAGAGAGGGCATGGAGCTCCAAAGATTCACTATTCGGGTTTGAGAGACAGAGCACTACAAAATGTTGAGAGTGACGGTGACAAAACTTGTTACGCCATGCGATGCCCCCGTCGACAACAAGGGGGGGGGCAACAGATGGTACGACATCTACCCCCCCTCCTTCCCTCTTTCCCCCGAACACGTCACGATGGTTCGCGCTTGGTGCTATGCGAGCGCGGTCGCCGAAAAACCGATGCCCTCTCTCCCGACAGTGTAGACAAGCGGAGCGACTTCGACTGTTGAACCACCGCATACGGCCTCGTCATCACGACCGTGTGTATGCGACGTGAGCCCCTGTACGGGGCTGCCTGCAGCCATTCAGTTAGCCTTCGCAGCATTTATCGTGTTATGTAAACATGTTGGATAAAGCATACAATCGGGGGAAGTTGGTAGGGGATAGGTAATAGGGTCTGCGTCCCCCCTACCTGTTCTAAATCCTAGATAAACTTATTAATCGCGTGAAGGCGGTCCCAGCCATGACCGATGATCATGATCCCACCACCCACCTTCCCTCGTCTTGTCAAGGCAGTCTGCGCCGTTTGGACGCGCTCCCCCCTAGCCGTGCTCGTGACCCCGGTCGTGGAACTAGACGAGGAGGAAGAGGAAGAAGAGGAGGAGGAGGATGACGAAGGGAGGGCGGCGAGGTTCTGGTGGAGAGAGCAAGCGGTGGCCATGCGATCCCGCAGAATCTTGAAGGCAGCCGACTGAGATAGCCATAGCGACAGCGACAGAGATAGAAGACAGAGAGGGGGGGGACCAAGAGTCAGGTTAGCAAGGGTAACACGAACGAGTGGTGAAAAATGCAGGGCTCGGGCGAGGTTGGCAAGGTCAGGTCACAAAAACCTACACGCATCTACTAATGCGTAGCCAAGCTTGAACAAATAACTAGTTTGAGACCATTGATCCCTCCGCTTCCCTCCTCCCGCTTCAACCCATCCTGACTTGTAGTCAGTAGGTCGTCTCAACATGGAGGGCTGCAGGCAAGCGGCAATCTTTCACTGGCACTCCCGCGTACCCCCGCCTTTGGGATGATTGCTCTACGAATACTCGGCTATGTTCACGTTTCATATCGTAACTAGTGCTGGTATACCTGTGGCAGGAGCATGAGGATGCCGTAAAGGCTCTTGAGCAGGAAAGGGTAGGACGGCGAGTCCACGTCCAACAGCTGCAACCGAAGTCGCAAGAATATGGGAGACTCTATCAGCTGCACGAGCTTGTCCACCTACAGAAAGAGGAAGCGAAAGCGAACAATAACAGGGAGGGTGACGCCGCGAAAGGTTTGGCAAACCAGTTAACACCGCACCAGACACTCAACCGATATCGTATGAGGAGCAAAAAGGGTGCACCAGACCAATCACCACACAAGTGCCGATCGAGACAGGGTGTCAGTCGCCCTCGTGCACGAATCACGAATGAATGCCAAGTCAAAGAGCCTGGTCTAGACCTAGACGCGCAGTAACAGATACTATAGTGGAGGCATCCAAGATTCCTTAAGGCTGATGTCCAACCAAGCAGTGATGGCGAAATAGTCCCCTTAGGCCCCTTCCAACAGCAGCTAGTCACCCGTGACACGTATTGTCGGTCCAGCCTTGAAAAAAAATGAATTCGAACAAGCTGACGGTCTCTATGCTAAAAATCATGTTTTGAGAGAGATTTCTGAAGTACCTTCAGGCTGCTTCGGTTTTTCTTGAATGGTGGTCGGAGCGGCGGAACCGCATCGTGAGAGAGAATGCTCACTGCTCACGTCCACAGGATCCGCCTCCTCCTCCTTCACGATCAATATCAAGGGTGGAATGATACCGCCACCCCGTTAAAGAACACTGGAAACTGCCATCAGTGAAAAAACTCGTGGTATGTAGCTACCAATGCTTCAAAGCATGTTGTTCATAGACAAATCGAACCGGTGGTATCTAACTCCCAGCGATTCAAAAGAGGCCAACTTTCTTAGAGATATATCGAACCACTGGTTTCTAAAACTCCCAGCGCTTAAAAAGCACAACGGCTGGTATCTACAACCCCCACAGCTTGACTTAAAAAGGGACGGCTGCGCGCAGACAAACAAGCACACCTGCATCAGGAACCCGACCGTGATCTCCACCTCCGCCACCTCCTTCACCAGCTCCGCGGAGACGTCGTACGCCTGTGCGAGTAAGCACAGACTGAAGGTCGCCACCGGGTTGTGGCACCAGCACGCGAAGAGAGCGGCGAAGAGCTCCCTGTCCTCGGGAGATGCGTCGCTCCTCGTCGAAAGCCTCAGCGCCTGCCGGAGCTCTTCTAACTCCCCCGCCGTCAGCAGGATCAGATTCAGCGCCTGAGGAGGGGATCAGGGCGGCGGCGGGGGGAGGGGGGGGGTACGGTTATGTATTTTCTGGAAAAGGTGGGGGGGGGGGGGGGGG